AAATAATGCTGTTACTGGTAGCAACATAGTATCAATGATTTAATAGCCCATAAACACCATGGGTGAAGTGAGACTTCTTGGCTTCATATTAGGCTTCTCAGGGTTTAGGTCTCCATGGTAACAGCTAAGAGCCTCCCTCAGAGACTGTCATGGCTTAAAACAAAAAACAAAAAACTATGAAGAACATGTGTGTGTGTAGGAAGTGAGATAAATAGTGTAGGGTAGTGTGCCTCAATTTTTTTGTCTTCATGATTATGCATGACTCATTGTTACTCCTCTCTGACCCTCTTCAATGTGGTAGTTTTAGTCTGATGTTAGAGCGATTATTATCAGAGAGGACTGGAAACCAATCACAGCGATGTAGTGAATGTGGCCTCTCGCTCTTCTTTGTGCCTCGTTCTCATCCTCCCATTTGTCATGCTGCTAAAATGTTATTGCTCAACATGTCTCTTAAGCATGGTAATGAAACTGTGCAACCACTTACTCACAACTAAATGAAATTCATTGGTTTGATATGGATATGAAGTTTGAATTGCACATGATGCGCTCTGTGTATACAAAGAGAAGTGTGAATGGACTCTGCCATGGATGCTTGCGTGCGGCTTCATCAAAATTCTGTTCGTGAAGGCAATCATCGGCTCTGACTCCCGACCATCATCAGTCACCAACACGCTACCTGCTCTGTCTCTGAGGCCCCACAGCAACCACCAGTCTTCATCACACGCATTCTCACGCACGCTGATTAGATCATGAATCCAGATTTTGTTGCCTCTAAAATCCCCTCCCAGGGGTCCAGTGGTGAGAAAGAATGAGAAGAGTTCACAAAGCAAGCCGTGCAGGTCTGTTACTTTAAGCTACTGTGAATGAATTGAGTTTTGTTTTTTCTAATTATTTGAAATTTTAGGAGCTGGAGTTATTTGCCTTTTTCCAAGAATTTAAAGTTAATAAAATCATCGTTATAAGCAAAGCACAAAGTGTCAAACTACTATCTCGCTACACTCTTTTTAATATCACACAGAAGAACTGGTCACACCATGTCAGGGTTACTATAAATTTCTTTGATCTACAAAACAATTTCCCCAAGGAGTTCCAGTTTGAATAGTCTTGAGTTCAATTTGACTCATTTTATTTATATAGCACCAACAGCAGTCATCTCAACGCGTTTCATATTGTAAGGAAAAAACAAACCCTTCAATATTAGACAGAAAAGTCCAATAAACACCACCTCCAGACAGACAAATTCTCTTTTAATGGGAAGAGACCTCATGCAATGGCCGAGGAGGGATCAGGGAGGGGCGACCATCTGCTGTGACTGCAGGGCTGAGGAGAAAGAGAAGAGAAAAGAAACTATAGAAGAGACACGTTAATGACCGGCATTAGTGGCATGTAAACACATCAGGAGTGAAAAGGGGCGAGTGGAGAAGAAGAGCTCATTGCGTCATGGCAAGTCTCTCATTCCCTGCCTTTACCAGCACTGCTAAGGGATGCTGCAGGGTGACGTGATCCATCCTTAACTATAAGCTATGAGTCAAAAAGGAATTTTTTAAACCTAATCTGGTTGCACAGGAGAGGGGCCTGATAGCCGCCTTCCATTACTTTTGCAAACTGTGGGAACCACAAGTCACAATCTAGCCTGAGAGGTCTCTGCTGGGGTGATATGTTGTGATGGGGCCTGATTATTCAGGACCTTGTATCTGTGCAGAAGGCTTTTAAATTCAGTTCTGAGTTTAACAGGAAAGAGAAACAGTCTCTCTTTCTAGTCGCTATTAGTAGTTTTTCTGCTGTGTTTTAGATTTAATAAAGTCTGTTCAGGTTCAGTTTTTAGAAAAACCTGATAAGAGGGAATTACTAAAGTAGAACCTTGAAGTATTAAATGCATTAACAGGTTTTTCAGCATCACTGTTCAGCGTTTCTACTTTTGGCAGTGCTGCACATTTTACTGCCCTCAGACTGAGGTCACTATGTGTTAAAACTCATCAGCACGTCCTAACCCTTATTAAAAGGTTAAGTAATGCTTTGATGCTTTTTCTTCTTATAAAATACTTTAAAATTCTTTAATTTATTTAAGTGCATTTCTTCTTGGAGTGAGGTTATACTAGCAGAAAATATAAAATTATTAATGATGGGTTTAGACATTTGTAGATATTTCCATTAATGACCAGCTGAATAAATGTACCTAATTAAGTAGTTGGTGAGTGCATATAGCAGCTAATTATTACAGTATGTAGCAGACTAATAAAAAGACAAAAATTCTCTCTAAACTAAACCAATTTGAAGCACATAGTTCTTGGACGGGCTGCACCTCATAGAGGGTCATAATATTTGTCACATAATTCCATTAAAAATACTCCAGAAGGCACCAGCAGCACACACACTGCCATGAAGTCTTGCCGACAGCTATTGCTGATAACGTTCTGTCAAAGCAATCATAACTCTATCCCTGAACAAAATACAAAGGGAAGAAATAAATCCCCCAGAGAGATGTTTGAAAGCAGAAATTCATTGTAGAGACCCAAACCATTTTTGTACCAGGCTGTGAGCATGTTAAGATTATCTCTGGAGTAGTTAAAAGGGTAAGCGGCCTCAAGTGGCCACTAGATGAACTGCAGGTTTTTGGCACTTCCAGTTGGCTTCTTTTGTGGTTGCTGTTTCAGTATACCCCAGTGGCAGAAATGAGCTAAATACATTTATTAAAGTGCTGTATTAGCACAGTGTAATTTGAAGGGCTCTTTTATGTTAATTTATATCAGTTGCTGACAACCTCCAGTCATTGAGAATTTCCCGACATGTTGGTAAGTGGCTGCCTGAGCTTGCTGTAGTTGACCTGTAGTATACGACACTACAGGTCAACTACAGGGGACCACAACAACCTGTTGGCGTTCAAAGCAATCACAAGAATGTTTCTGGTGTAGCACTACATACCTCTTTGCGAGGAATTTCACTCGAGCACAAGTAACGTGCACATTTTTCTCTAGCAAACTGTGATTGCCAGGCGATCACCCACTGGTCTCTAGGCCTGTGACGCTGAGGCCGTAGGAGAAAGGTTATAGATGGCGTGCTTTTTAGATCTTTTTCTAGACAAACATTGTGATGTGACGCAGTAGGGAAGGAACAGGCAGAATTAATAATTTCCCCATAATATCCCAGCATGCCACAGCAGTGAACCAGTATGAAGAAAATTGAATGCAGCCATCATGAAGGCACTTGTGCTGTCCCTGCTGTGAGTCAAAATATCTGCTTTGAAAATGTTCAAAATATATTTCTTAGTGTTTTAATTTAATTTGTTAATCTTAATCCATTTTGCCTATTGGGAAGTTTTGATGATTTAAAATCATTTTTACGACAATATTTCTGAACTTTTTCTCTAAATGGCTTTTTCTTGTACTTCTATTTAGTAAAAAAGCTCAGTGTTTCTCTCACCACTAGGTTTTTTTTTTTTTTAATAGACATTGTTGTTAGAAAGCTTTTAGATTTCTTTGGCATGCTATTTGTTTTTGTTTTTTTAACCATAGCCGAGAGAAGTTAAACTAACTGCTCAGCTCTGTACATCGAGTTACTATTTGATGGGTCATCACGTGTGTCATCACAGGGAAGAAAGGGAAAGTCCTGTATTCACATGCAACCCCAAAGAGGATTTAAAATGTGCAAAGGAAAGATTGGAAATGATGCTGATAGTGTCTGACTATGACTTACAGTAACAGTGGGGCAGTAATGGAGCCCAAGTGGAGCAGCGCTGCATGCAAACTCAGCGCTCAAACGAGAGTATCAGTGTAGGTGTAGGGAAATGTTTGTAAAGTAGGGCAACTCTGTCGGGGAAAATAAAGATGGATGAGGAGCAAACTCATCAGCAGAAAGAAGCCATAAAAAATGCTGTCACACAGAAAGAGATGGGAGATTGAAAATATTAAAGCAAACTTAATAAACTGCTGAATAAGTAGGTGATAGTTCTCCATCTTCCTCTGCTCCTCATGCTAAGAAAACTACACAAGCCTCATATTGAAATGAATACGAGCCGTGTTTACTCATGTTCTGCCTGTCTGACAGTTGAAGGGGAAATGTCAAAAGATGATCAGCGAGTATCAGATTCAATCTCAGCTACTAAAAAATGAGATGCAGACTGATATCTCTAACTCAGCTGCAGTCGCTGAGCTACCGTGTGTGATTTGTCAAAAGCGAAAAAAATCTAACTTGTAGGTTTTAGAGTATTCACAGATCCTCGTTCAAACGTTAATGAAACGTGCTGATAGGATTAAAGAAGAGAGACCGTGAATGTTTTGCTTCAATTACAGCTTCAAAACACATCAACAAATGGATATACACAGAGCAAAAAACTGAACTGTTAGTTTCTCGAGGTATTTTACACCATTAATCGTGGTCACATTAGTGTGGCTGGATCAGAAAAATGCAAAACTCCTGGCCTGCAAATGTCAGAGATGTGGGGTTAAGTGCAATAAGAAGTCCGATGGCTCACTCCTGTAGTTAAGCAATATTTTAACTGTAGGCCCATTAATGTTTGAATTGCAGGGTTTATGGCTTTCTGTCTGAACCTTAGCTTGGAGATAATTTGAGATGACTAGTTAAATACTGACAGATGTATGAACACATATTTACCCTGCGACATTCAGATCAGTTTTTCTATTATTACATCTGTTTTTAGCTCTTTTTCTACCTGGACAAATCTTTTACATATTACATCCAGTGTTGCCGTTCCTGTACAGTGGAGACGGATGGAGAGAGGATGGAAAATAAGTATAAGTAATGTAAAAGTATATGTAAAAGATGAGCAAACAGCTTTTATTTTAATTAATCCTCAAATTGGCATATAGACCAGGAGGGGATGACTGTTATCATCCAGGGCGTTATATTAGTGTTTTATTAATATAGTCTTCATTCTCTTTGGAAAAACTTTTAAATTAAATATCGACGCACCTACAGTTATCCCTAAAAGTTTAAGCAAGCTGGTGGTCTTTTTTTGAAGTTTGTGCGCTTTGCCTTTTTAGCTGGAAGAAACACAACAAACGAGGAGCTGGAGAGCATGTTGGAAAGTGACAACCCAGCCATCTTCACCTCGGGGGTAAGTCTTACAAAAAAACAAAAAAGCAAAACATAAAGAATGCAGCAGGGGCGCACCTGTCAGTCACTACTTCCTTAATTTTGTACCTTCTTAGATAATTATGGACAACATCACCCAGCAAGCAATGAATGAGATCGAGACGCGGCACAATGAGATTATCAAGCTGGAAAACAGTATCAGGGAGCTTCACGACATGTTCATGGACATGGCCATGCTGGTGGAAAGCCAGGTGAAAACACTGATCTCTCTCTCTCTCTCTCTCTCTCTCTCTCTCTCTCTCTCTCTCTCTCTGTTTCTACAGCTGTGTTGCTTGAGTCTCGGCCAAATGCATGCAAATGAAACAAACATGCAAATGCTCAATATGTTTATAACTGACAATCCATCTGCCAATTGATGCATAATGACTGGTTTCTACATGCAGAAAGGGCCATCTTGCCATAGCAGCGGTTCAGTAGCTCCCCGTGTTCATTAATAGTAAAATCATTAATCAGCTCAGCATGCTAGCATGCTGCTCCTCCCTATTAAAGCTCAAGCAACTACATGTCTTTCATTTTGCAGAATGGTTTTTTAAGTGTATTAGTGTAATTGAGGGCTTGTCTATGCCAACACAGTTGGAAGGAGGTTATGTTTTCAGCTCCATCTGGGTGTCTGTTTGCAAACTATCTCAGTAAATTTAGACAGTTTTGGGGGAACAGATCATTTTTGGCTCAAAGATAAGTTGATTGGAGTTTGGTGATTATCTCCACGTGGGATTTCTGGCTTTGGACTGTTTTTTCTTTTTTTTCTTTTTTTTTTTATAAATAATTCTCCTGCTGCGATCATTAGCTGGAAAATAAATCTGACATCTACAACTTTCAAGTTGGCAACTTAACAGAGTCACATTTTGTTGAAGCTTTTAATTATAAATAAACCTTAAATATTTCAGGCTTTAGCTTCGCGCATTTAGAGCTGTTCAGAATTAGTCTCTTTATTATGTTGCAAAATATGAATGCTGCACATTAAAAAGCGTTCCAAGCCTCATGGAGTGAACAGTTCCCTAATTTTCCGATACATATTCGGGTTTTCTTCGTGTGTGTGTGTGTGTGTGTGTGTGTGTGTGTGTGTGTGTGTGTGTGTGTGTGTGGCTAAACCCCCACAGAGATGAACTATTTCCTTCATCAGAAATAATCGGCCTGAATTGTACAGAATGGATTCTGAGTTAGAGACCACTTGAACATATGAAAAATAAGAAAATATGTGAAATATTGAAGTAAATCACTACATGAAACTGATTTTGGTTACACTGATGGCACAATGCAATAACATTTAGCGGGAAAATGTCTAATAATTCAGTGGAAATGGGTGTTTGTATGTGTGTGCTCTAAACCGTTCAATTAACTAACCCTTTATGCTCTCAGTGCCACATGATTTAAGATTAAACTGTATTGTGATTGTTAAATCTACCCTTCTCAGCTTTGCTCTCTCTGTCTCCCACTCTCTTGGTTTTCGCCTCTGTTTTCTTCTTCACTACACAACACTGCCCCCACTCCAATGACTCTAAGCTCTGGAGAACACAGAACGTTGTTCCCCTTCTAACACAGCAAGGTAATTTACCTCTAACTTAAGACTTTTCACCTGTGCGGACTTTGAATTGTCTTTGTTTTAGTGCATGCACAGAGAGCAGTCTGGGTCACTTTTGATTTGTCAAGTGATTGTGGGTCAGTGCTAATGTGAAAAGTTATGATTTTTTTTCTTGTTGATTAATGCTGTTTTAATCATGGTTTGTTACCAATACAATGGAAATGATAAGAGATGTGATATCACAGTTATTTTGTGTTCTATGACATTCATGTAATGATAGCTGTCATTAGTCTAGTCAGGTTGCTTTGAAACATTTATGAAATCGAAACATTGCTGGTACTACAGATTTCTTCTTACTATTACCTTAATGTGTCTCCATCTCTGATTCTTGTGCAGGGCAACCTCGTGAACAACATTGAGCGCTGTGTTATGGAGGCCCAGGATTATGTGGAGCAGGGAAAGGACAACATCCCAAAATGCAAAAAGTTCAAAAAGACCAACAGACGGGTGACATAATTATTTCTTTTTCTCTTTTTTCTTCTCCTTCTCTCTCCTACTCATTTATCTGTTATTCCTCCCCTGTCACTTGCCTCCATCTGTATCCGCTCCTCCTCCTCCTGCCTACACATCTGGCTTCCTCTTTATTCTTCTTGTCTGCATGTCCTCCACACCTCCTCTGTAACTAACTTCTTCTAGGGGGAAATGATAGACCGCATTGAGTACAATGTGGAGCACTCGGTAGACTATGTGGAGAGGGCGGTATCAGACACTAAGAAGGCTGTTAAATACCAGAGTAAAGCCCGGAGGGTGAGTTGCTTAAACAGAAAAACGTGCTGTCATGTGAAACGGTGGTAGTTGAAGTCAGAATCGGTGCATGTGCATAGTGGAGTGGTTGCTGTGCATGCTCACCTGTCATGTATCTGTGTATGGACTGTGGCTATTGTGAGTGTATTTAAGTCTACAGCAATGACTTTCAGCCTCAGTAACTTTAGCATATACACTCACCGGACACTTTATTAGGTGCACTTTGCTAGTACTGAGCTGGAGCATCTTTTGACTTTAGAACTGCCTTAATTCTTCAGTTCTTCCTTTTATAGATTCAACACAGTTCTAAGAACATTCCTCAGAGATTTTAGTCCACAGTTGCTGCAGATTTGTCGGTTACACATCCATGATGATGCAAAAATTAAAACCCAAAAATGCTCTATTAGATTGAGATCTGGTGAGTGTGGAGGACATTTGAGAACAGTGATGACCATGTTCAAAAAAACAGGTAGGGATGATTTGAGCTCTATGACATGGCATATAGCCCTGGAAAGGAAAGGAAAGGAAAGTATATGGTCAACAGCAAGACTCAGATGGGCTGCAAAGTTTAAATCGTGACCATTTGATACTACGGTGATTAAAGCAGCGAGTGTGCCAAGAAAATATCCTCCACACAATTATACCACCAGCCTAAACTGTTGATGTTCTGCTGCTCTAGCACATCATGTCGTGCCTCCAGAGATGCTCCTCTGCATACTTTAGTTGTAAAAACTGGTTATTTGAGTTACTGCTGCTCCCCTACCACGACCTTTAGCATCTTGACCATGTCTAGATGACCTAAATGCCTAAATGAATTTAGTTGCTGCCATGTGATTGGCTAATTAGATATTTGCTTTAAAAAGCAGTTGAATAGGTGTACATAACAAACTGGCCGGTGAGTGCCTATAAGAATCTGACCTAAGAACAATTCAATTTATAAATAAAAACACTCTGTATGTATTTTTAGTTTAACCTTTTCAACCAGAGTCACTTTTAACACATGAACACTACATTCTGGTGGAGAGGCATGACAAGGAGCCACAACAGATAAGTTATTTTACATGTTTAGTGCATATACAGTAAATGCACAAACTGTCATCTTTGAATAGTTGTTTGCTAGTAAAGCAAGATGTATCATCTTACATCATGGATTCTGGAGGTTCACTATCTTTGGACAGGATTATGTGAAGCTGATTGTTCCCGTAGTATATAAACATTTGACAAATGCTTTTGAAAGGAATCATGGCAGTCTTCCTTCTTTTAAACAATCTGCAACACAATGGAGCAATTCTGCCACCTCTTGGTCAACGTCTAACAAGGTGCTCAACATTAGATAAATTGCACACATCCAATGACTCAGTGCAAGGGTCATCTACATGGTTATTTCCCCATTTATAATTAAAGACTGCAAACTTTCTTTCTTTCTTTCTTTCTGTCTTTCTTTCTCTCTCTCTCTCTCTCTCTCTCTCTCTCTCTCTCTCTCATGTTCCTCTCAATCCCCTGACTCATTATCTAACGCTGTGCTCTCCTTGTTCTCCCTCCCCATGGTCCCCCATCCAGAAGGTGATCCTGATAGGAGTTTGTGTTGCGATTTGTATCACCATCCTCATTATTTCACTCGCAGTGGGACTCAGTTAGGAGCCTAAAAAATCATCACATGGCAGACAGGACAGTCATTATGAGTAACATGAATGCCAAAAACACACACACACAACTGTTCATGTGTTAAATGTACTGTATGGTGGCCTCTGCAATGTGTGCAGTGAGCGCTGCTTATGAACTGGGAAGCAAGTCATTGCATTACTGGTCTGAGGTCTGTGCAGCAAGCTATGAACACTCAAATATAATCTGCATCAACTTTTATTCTTAATGTGTGCTTCAGCTCCAGGAATGGTTTGTGCTTGGCCTGTTTGAGTTGCAAAGCTTTGTCATGTGCATGTTTCTCTCCATGTTGTCCCACAAACACAAATTGAAGATGATTGCATTATTACTAAAATAGTCATCAAAATAAGCTTATTACCAATTAGTTTTAACAATGATGTATTACTAAAGGTAAAACAGAATAGTTAAACATTTTGGGAAATCCACTTTTGAGTCAGGTTGGTCAAATATGTGCCTTAGAGATTTTGTCGTTTCGCAGGCATAGTGACTTTATGGAGGAGTGTTTAGGAATTACAGCAATCTCCAAAAATGTATTCTCCCTTCCTGGTTTTCATCTGTAGTGTGCATATCAGTGTTTATGCTTCCGTGCAATTTCTGCTTTTGGAAAAGTCTAACAAATATAAAACCATTGATTTGTGGTAATGTGTTAACAGCTGGGTGGATGTTTTCTTTTTTGTTTTGTTTTTTTTAATAATTGTGATTTTTTTTTTTTAAATCATGATTTTTAAGATACTGTAACAATGTAGAGATTTTATTTCCTTCTCACCCGATACATCCATGATATATCGATGAATCTGAAATGACCACGTAAATTAAATAAGCTATTAATAGTTTATGAGTAAAATTAGGATTTATAACACACAAACAAGTCTAAGTTTATAGTTGTAAAAATTTTTTTTTAGACAGAATGAGATATCTGTTTTCAAAAGAACGCTTTCTTTTAATTTAATTTAAGGTTGGGACATTTAAAAATTTAGTCTGTTACTTTACAGAGCTTAAAATGAGGTAAAAAGAACCTCAGATGAATAACAACACATGACATATGTGTCATTATTTATTTTTTAAAAATCCAAAATGCAGAACCAGTGTGTGAAAAACTAAGTACATTCTTAATACTTTCAGAGGAATTAAAAGGGTAAGTAGCAGCCACGTGCTGCTAATCTAATGCATTTGATAGTGGAGAAGGGTTCTCGTTAAGGTCTATGCCTCAATGAGAACCATCCCTGTGTACTGCTCTGTCCCTCATCCTTCTCTGTTGTTGGGAACGAGTCTTGGGTCGCCAGGTTCTCCGTTAACGCTGTGCCTTTGACGTGTCCTTTCAGAGTGTCAGGGCACTTTTCTCCCTGAAGCTCAGAGATCAAGATATTTTCATTTCTCTGAAACAGGTCTTTGAGCAGAAGGATGACCAGTTTGAGGGCCTAGCACTGAAGGCCTAACCCTAACCCCCCTAACCCCCCTAACCCTATAGCATATCAAACACTTCATGTTGATTTGGGTTTTGCAACCACAGAAGCTGGGCACCTTACAGTCACTGACAATGATCCCAAGCATGGCAGCAAAACGACAACAGAATGGCTGAAAAAGAAAAGAATCAAGGTGTTTCAATGGCCAAGTTAAAGTCCAGACTTCAACTAGATTGAAATGCTCTGGTGGAATAACTGTGCTTCATTACATGCGCATACATCTCAACAAGCTGAAGCAATGTTAAGAAGAGTAAGCCAAAAAAAAAACCAATAATATAAAATACTGAGAAATTTGTACAAAAAATGATTATTTCAAGTTATTGCTGTTGGAGTTGGTTCTACAAACTACTGAATCATGTTGTTTACTTAGCTTTTCACACACTGCTTCTGCACTTTGCCTTTTTTTTAAACAAATAATGACACACTATAATATGTCATATGTTTTGGTTTATTGAGTAAATTAAAATTTAATGAACTAATTTAAGTCTTTCTTTGTGGAATTAGCATGTTCTCCCCATGTTTGTCTCTCCGGGTACTCCACTTTCCTCCCACAGTCCAAAGACATGCAGTTAGTGGGGATAGGTTAATTGGAAACTATAAATTGTCCATAGGTGGGAGTGCGAGTGTGAATGGTTGCCCTGTATCTGTGTGTTAGACCTGCAACAGACTGGCAACCTGTCCAGGTTGTATCCTGCCTCTCGCCCTCAGAAAGCTGGGATATGCTTCAGCGCCCCCGCAACCCTGAGAAGGATAAGCAGTAGAGAATGGATGGATAATTTTAGTTTAGCTGTAATAACCAGATGATTTTGTTTATGTCCTGATATGTAAAACTTTAGAACTGCATGAGGGTGTCTCATAGAGATGATGTGTTTAATTGAACTTTTATTTTCTTCTTATTACACTGATGTGATGAGATGTATGTGACTCATAACTAAGGGCATATTTCCTTAAACAGTTTCTTTAAGAATTGTTGGAAACTGTCCACAGGATTTATTTGCTGCACGCTGAACTTCTTCATTAGAGGGACCTTTGCTAAAAAACACGTTTTAAAAGTGAAGTTTGTGTTTGGTGGATTTTTAATTTTTGATAAATTTGCAGTCTTGCTTGCATATTCTCAGTTAACCACTAGATGGAACCAAATTGATGCTTTTTATGTTGTGCATGTGATGGCTTTAACCGCAGAGATGATTTCTGTTTGTGGCATGTGACAGATGGTATGAGCAAAATGCAGGATTTAAAGATTTCTTTCTTTTAAAAGAAGATGTAGAAATAACGTAACATTTTGGTCACACTCCAGCATTATTAGAATGAATTAAATTGCATTTTTTCCCCGCTTGGTTCTTTTACTTTTGTTGTAAACTGCATTTTGTTCAAATTATTATTAACTCTGTTCAAGTAAAGCACAAACAGTATAACTAACATGTTTTCTCTGCTCCCCATTTGCTGCTTTGGATGTTGTTGTTTTTTCTTTTTGTTAATACCATTCAGAAGAAAATTATGATTATTATATGCTGTATCATTCTGGGAGTCGTCATTGCTTCCATTGTTGGGGGAACACTGGGCTAAACCTCAGCCACAATCACACTAAAAAAAACACACAAAGTCACACGACAGAGCTAAAAGCAGAATAACACACATTTCCAATTTCCTGTTTTAACAAATGCAATCTATTACGTGTTCAGCAAAAGATACGTTACATAATGTACAATAAATTTTACACACAGTGTACAGGGCCAGAGGTGTTTTGTTTTTGTTTCGCATGAGTTGCTATTTTGTAAATGTGTGGTGCTGCAAACTGTTTATCAGAGTGTCGAGTGTTGTCAATGATATGATGTTTCTTGAATGAAAAAGTTACTAAATGAAATGTAACACTATACTAAAACATTCCAACTTCCAAGTATGACACTGATTCAGATGTGTCTTTTTTTGTGTTGTACAGGCAAAGTGACACATTATGTTTTCAGAGCTATGTTATCTGTAGACCTCTGTTCATTTGCACATGTATTTATCTTTTTTGTAGTCTTCTTACTTTCTCTCTCTGATGTCTTTTCTACCTCCCTCTTAAAAGCCCTGCATGGTTTAGTTCACTGTAAAGTGGTGTTTTGTACTCTGTTGCAAAAGGGAACACATCAAAAAGAACATAGCTACGCTGATGTTGGGTATTTTGCTCGTATATTTAACACACTGCCAAACTTTTTTTCTAATTGCACATCTCTTGTAGTTGACAGAAGCAATGCTACTGTACTTAATTTCATCTGGCCTTACCGGTTGTGCAGCATTTTTGACCGTTGCTCCAGTGTTGAGTGTGATTGAGTGCATGCATGCATATAAAAGATTTGAAAGGATATTTGCAAGTTCCTTGGTAGCTACATGTCTGAACACGTTGTATGTGAGTCGTTGGATGAAAACATGAGTGCTTGTTGGTAGCCAAATGTGTCTTTGTTTTCTAAAGTAATATAAAGCTCTCTAACACTGCCAGTATATTTAAATAAGCTGTTAAAGTGGAGTCTAGTCTGGTTGGATTAATGAAGTGACAAACCTTTTGTTTATTTCTGCCGTTTCTGTAAACCCCAAGGTTTAAACAGTGCATATTATCCTGTCAAGCTACTTCTACTGTATATTTATTTCCATTGATGAACTCACTGAGTCAATGAATGCATCAGCATGAACTCAAAGTAGCCCCGTTAAAAGACTCATATCATTTTTGGGGGGAAACATCAGACAGCACAGACTGCAACCATGTTACCATGTTGCCTACTCAACTTGTTGCCTTTGTGTTGTATTGTAATGACATGGGTTTATTTGTTTAATGAGTCTTGTTTTTTCTTTTTTTAAGTAAAGTTTGTCCCAAAAAATTACACTGAGTTTGTACTTTGCCTTGCACACATGATTCCACAGGGGAATAATATATCCATTAGTCCAATACCAGTGAAAACATGAATGGTGAGTCCTTGAAGTTGATGTGTTGGTAGCAAGTTATTTAAGCACCAGAATGTCCACAAACATGATTGCAAAATTGGAGAGGGACGTCAAACATTCAGCCTTCCTCCAGCCCAGTCCCAAACTGCTCTCCTTCACTGGTCTGGACGGACTGTCTTGTCGAGATGAACTGACGATCCACAGGACTATGATGTCACTTTTTCTAGACAGGATTCTGATTTTGAGGAGTTCAGTCATAATCCCGCAGTTGGTCGCTTTGCACCATTGACTCTTCAAGCACAACGTTTGAACCTGAATGCACAAAGCAGGATTATTGCTGCACCAACACATCATTAGTAGCAAAAACCAAACCTGTCCTTAGCTTTCTATCAACAGCAAAAGTGCAGTAACCTGAAAGCTGGGGCAGAGCGGGACTTATGGGTAGCCATAATACCGCTTTCAGCAATTTCTCGTTCTCTGCGGC